GTGTTTAAAAGACAGAGAAAAAGAGCTACAGCTACAAAGGAGTGGAAAATGACGAAGGAGAAGATTGTGATCCAGTTAATGCGTAGTTTATATGAAGTGGGCTATGGCATTTATTAAAAGCACTCCTGTCTGTTGTTTCACACCTCTCTGTTAATTCTTCCTTATCAGAATCACCCTCCTAGACCGACCTGTAATAATATATTTTCTAAATTACATTTTTGAAGCAGAAACGGAATTTCAGAAAGTAAAAAAGAACAAAATAATAGTAGTAATAATTAAGTTTTATATATCTAAAAATGTTCAAGCATTTTAAGTGGCCGTTCTGACATTTATCAGCTTTATGATATCTAAAAAATATCTTAAAATAATGCAAATACTGACCAGTAATATTAGGAATATGGAGATCTGAAATTAATTTATAGAGATCAGAATGCGGATATGGATACAGTATATAGGATATATCCAGAATATTTGTAAACTGGAAAGAATTTCAGTAGCTCTTCATGTGCTGTAAATACAATTAAATACATATAAAATGATCCGCATATCTCTCTCATATTAAACACACCAAAAACAGGTAATTTCATGCCCCTTGAAAATATCTTTGTGAAATGGAAAATTCAGAGGTTCTCCGTTTTCTGGTTCTCTGTAAACCTGCTTCATGAAACAGACCCCTGGTCTTGGTTCAGTCTCTCCATATATACACCCCCTCTGCAGTCACTCGGTGCTGGTTTGTTGTTGTTTTGTTGCTTCTTCATCTCTGGCTCCGCACGTGAGTTTTTCCTGATGCTTACTGATTTTTTTGGTTCTTCGTACTTTTGATGTTTTGGATTTGACTTCAGTTGCCTCATTAAATCTGCCTTACCTCTGCCTCCTGGTCTCTGCATTTGGGTCCTCAAAAGCCTCCACTCAACCTTGACAAAACCCTTGGATCATAATTCAAAAATTAGCAATTAGAATCGGAAATTAAGCAAATTATAGAGAGCATACAAATCAACTTTTTGTTAAATAAAAAAAATTAACATTTAAAAACTTGATTGACTTAAAACTGCTCAAATCATATACAAAGTAAATAATATTTTGTTGCCATTACATATTCAGGGTCTGTTTTTGATCAGGGACAGTGCTTATGATCTTGGAGGGTACAAAATATTAATAAAAGAAGAAAAAATGTAAAACAGCACTATATCTTTTGTTGGGGTTCATGTTTGGAAAAACTAGATCAGGAGCTAAAGCCTCTACAACAATAATAAGTTTTAAAACATATCTAAGAATAATGGGATTTAACATTATGAATCATGTGAATGCAACTAAAAGCAGTAAGATATTGAAGGTATTAACTTTTTTCAAGCGTTATAATTGTAGAATCATTTTTTTCTTTCTAATCATATTTTGGTAGTTTTTATAAAAGGTATCCCCGTTTTCCTTTTTTTAGGTAAAAATTCAAATTCCATCTCTTATTGCTTCTGCCAATACAACCTTTTAAGACATTTTTTAAATTTATTTATGCTACAATGACATATACTGTCATTTATTGCATACTTTCACAATTTGTCTGAAATAAAAAAAACAACATTTATTTATTCACATTTGCAAACCCTTGTCGTTAGGAGCTGTCACTTGTACGCTCTGATTTGTTCAAGCCAGATTATCTGTTAAGTTAAAATCTTTTGTAGGTGCTGAAAATACGGGTCACACAAAGATACTGATATAAAATAATTGAGCTGCTCAGGTCTGGAAGGACCTTGTGAAACTGTCAACATGAACCAATCTTTATTCCACTGTCTTGGCTGTATTTCCATCACTTTACTGAACAAATTTAGTAACCATAACCAAGTTTTATCTTATATTTATTTATTTTTTTCCTTAATAGCAGTGCAGAAACTGCTTGAGTTGTGTAGTAGTGTTTCTTTAGCTTTTCAACAACACACAATCTTGAGAGTATTTATAAATTGATAAAATGCCACAGAAAACATTCCCTTCTTTTTTTCCACCTGCCCTCTAAGGCATGACGGCCTAATAATTCCGATAATTCTGTCCAGTACTGAACAAAACAAGCCAATTCCCCAAAGAGCTGCATCATCTGAACATGGTGAACTGAGTCATTATGGCTCAGCGTGCTGTATCCATCATGGTGAGACTCTTCCATCTATCCCCTTTTTTAACACAATAGCACCTCTGTCTCCCTCTGAGCTTTGTGAAATATAAACAGACAGTCACAAAATGCTTTTCTATCAATCCTTACAGACACACTTCCTCCTACCATTTCCTCCCCTCTCCCGCCTCCTCTCTGTTAATATATTCTTTTGCTTTGTGCTTTCATTTCACGCTTCCTCCATCTTTTCCTGCTCTCTTCTACTTTTCTTTCCCTTTCTTCCTGTTTGCCATCAGCTTGGCTTCTCCATCTGTGGGAGGTGTGCTTTTGGAATTACCCCTGAGATGCACACTGTCTGCGACCTTCATGAATCACAATCTCTTGTACTTCTTTCATTTTCTCCCGTTCTTGTCCTTTGTGATTTTCCTTTATATTCCCAAATCTTTATGTGGGGCATCCCTTCTTCTCCTCTCCTAGACCATTCCAAACTCTCTCCATTTTTATCCCTGTTCATTGTCCAGCTTGCCTCTTTTTTGTCTCCCTCAGCCTCTCTGGCTCTTTCATCCTTCCGCTTTGTGTCTCATTTACAAAATGTTTTCGTAATCAGCATATTGCTTATCTGAATATTTGTGTAATATCTCCTGCTGGTACAAAATAGGCTATTGTTTCTTCAATTACCCTTTCTGAGGAAATTGCAGAATTAAATCCAGAATGAAGGGTATCTATGTAGCTGTGGTTGAACGTGTGGTTGCTACCTCCTCATTTTAGTGAGTCACCCTCTAAATGTTTCTCCTCTCATTTAACTCAAGGAAAGCAAAGAGCAGCTTCCGAGGAGCTGACGGTTGGCTCAACCAGTCTTTGCTCTCCAAACACACACAGAAATACACACCACTGTCATTCTGCAATGTTATTTGTCTATACCTATGAAGCACAAAAATGTATATATATTTTTTTATATTCTCTCTGGGGCTACTTGAAAAACATTATCTGGCATAAAGAGGAAGTGGGAAAAAGAAATTAAGATTATAATCTCACAAAAGAGCTGGGAGGAAATTTGTCAATTGCAGTGGGTCTCGACCAGATCAAACACATGGCGGGAGTTCTGCTGGAAAAACACTGTACGATTTTTTGTTACACCCATTCAGGGACGATATTAAAACAACGGGGACGCCTGCTGGAGACTCTGTGGGTCTGAAGGAGCCAACCACTTTCATCTCTTTTGGGACTGTCAAGTAATAAAACCATATTGGGAAGAGTTCCAAAAACATATTGAAAATATATTCAATGTAAGTATTCCATTAAAATGTGAAACATTGTATCTGGGCAATCTACAATTGGACACATGGACTAATAAAGAAAAAAAACTGCTGGCTACACTACTGGCTGCCAGTAAGAAGGCCATCACAAGGAAATGGATGAAACCAGACCCACCCACTATTGATGAATGGATTGAAATTGTTTACCAGGTTTATATGATGGAAAGGATCTGTTTTTCCCTCCAATTAGAAAAATAAAAATTTTATAAGATTTAGTCCAAATGGACTGAGTAGATGAAACCAATTAGATTCGACTTCATTTGATTGTTCTTCTGAAATATGTCTGCCCTCTTATGTCTTTGCGGTTTTTATTACTCGAGGTGGTACAATCCCCATTACTCTTTAATCCTATTAATTTTTGTTATCTTTTACAATTAAGTTAGTGATATTCAGTAAAAAATACCAGAAAGGCAACATGGACAAAATCAGTTGGACTTTCTGTTTATATCCTCAGTTATAATCTTAACCGGATGAAGCTGTGATTACTGATGTGATGGAAATATGTCTTTCTAAATAAAAAAAAAAGAAGAAGAAAAAAAAAAAACATTATCTAGGAATGCAAAGAAAAAGCATGTACATAGACTGAAGCTCTAATTCCCAGTTTGGATTCTCAAACACAAACAGGCTCTGACACGTTTGAGACAGTGCTGCGTCCCTAAAATCTCTATTTTGGCAATGCCTCCTGCAACACTGGGACGTATAAATGCACACCAAAACAATTTTCTTTACCGGGACTTTCTATTAACTTCCGTACATTTCTAATTCATTTGTATGATGTAATCCAGACCCTTACCCTGGCTTTAACCATTACCAATACATCCCTAACCTTGAACCTAAGCTAAACCTAATTCACACCTCAGTGCCTTGCCCAAAGAGCCTAGACCTACAGTACTTGTGAGTCCCCACAATGTAGTGTGTTCCTTGGAATTTGTCCCAAAGGTAATACATACATGGCCACATCCACACACATTTTGCCACACAATAATTTTGATGACTTTCCCTTGACTTCCTTTGATATTGCATTCATTTCTATGGCCTAACCATCACTAACACATGAGTAAGCCTAAACCTAATCTGAGCTCGATTTTCCTTAGTCCTAAACCTGACCCCCACTCCAAGAAGAGAATTATCCTCATGGTGACTCATCAATGGTCCCCACAAGTGCTTTGAAGTCTCCAAAATTTACCATATTTCTGGGAAATTGTCCCCACATTGTTACAAAAACATGGCCACCAACACAAGACATGAATCCAAAAGCACACCCATATACAGAAACCCAAGTAAATTCTCTGCAGGTGTTCCTTACCTGCAAATCTCTAAGTAAAAACAATTTCTGGTAGGCACGGAGGCAAGCAGGAGAAGTAGGTGGGGGGAGTGAGTTTGTGCGCGTGAGTGTTTTCTTATTTGTGCCGAACGCAGAGTCCCTGCAGGGGCCAGAGCTGTGCTGAAGGGTGTAAGCACTACTCAGAGTTTTGAAACACGCAGCCAAAGGGGGGTTAGATGAAGATGAAAAAGATGGTAATGGTACATAACAGGGAGTCTGAGTGATTAAAAGCTACTTGCAGGGAGGAGGAAGCTTTGTCCCTTACCTGCCAGAAGATATTGTCAATGGTGTTGCCCAGGAACCCTTCTCTGTTTTCAGACGACAGCAGCTTAGGCCCTAGTATCGTCATGAACTCCTCAAAATCAACCTGGCCGTCCCCTGCAGGGCAGGCACACAGATAGATTGCTTTATCACTAAAAACAGCAACACAACTTGTTTTACTGATTTACATTTGAATGAATAACTAAGATAAAAAAAACACATTATTGTTTGTGACACTAAATTCAACATTTAGTCTTTTTTTAACCAAACCTGTGTTTATTCAGACAAGGATCTTTGAGGGAATATTTCGCAAATGTAAATTCGCAGGAAGTGACTGGTAAATGTTTACATCATGTATTCTGCTGCTATGTGTGGTTATTGGTACAGATAAACAGCTGTATAGCTGCCTTACAGCAACTTGTAAACAGTATCTCCCACATGCTGGTTTATATTATAAAAATTAACCTAAACTTTTTCACTTTACTTCACTGAGGTATATTAAGTAGCACAATAAAACCTTTGCAGTAACGTAAGTTCAATAAACGCTGTTAATTGTCTTGCAAAAGTCTCCATACCTATTTTTTTAAAGAAAAAAGTAAACAAAACACCAAAGAAATGTTCATAACTTTTGAATAAAGAATGACGACCATCTACAGAGTAGTTCTCTGGGATTTTATGTTATAGCCCAACACAAATTAGTGCATAATTGTAAAGTTAATGAAAAGGGATACTGGGTTTTAGAAAGAACTGAGTTAATACATTAAGGAGCAAACTTTTAATTCAACTATTATATCAAAAGTTCACTGCACGTTTTTTTGGGGGGGGGGGGGGGGGGGGGGGCGTATATTTTTACAAAATTTGCCGATATATATAGACTAAAATGTTTGCCCTTTCTTTCTTACCATATTCCTTAACCTGATTTATGTTAAATTCAGAGTATCCTGGAACAGAAAAGTCTTGTTGGAGTAAGCACTGGGCCATTCTTAAATATAAATATGTGCTATGGTTGGACATTCCATTATCACTAGTTGTATGTTTAGGGTTTTTGTCTCCTGTCTCATTCCCATTTTGGAGCTTCTAACAGGTTGTAACATTGCTCACCATTAGAAAGTAAGAAGGTAAATAAGAATGATAAAAAAAAAAGTCTATCCATCCATTTTAAAAGAATATCAGCCAAATAAGATGCAGGTCCCGCTGAGCCTGGCTCTGCTGGCTTTTCTTGCTATTACAGAGGAGTTTTTTCTCACCACTGTCGCTTGATGCATTAAGTGAATTTCCCTGTTAACAGGCATCCCCGTTTCTGATATGGGGATTGTTTTTGTCTTTATTAATTTTGGGGTGAATGTAGGATTTATGTATCATTTTGCTCGCTTACCTGAATTTTTATTGTGAGATGTCGGTTTTTGACTGGTGAAGCTTAGCTGGTAGGTTCTAATTTGTTAAACCTGTGTTTATTATGTATATATTCATATATACTTATTATACAGTCAATGCCATGTCTGTATTAACAGTGTTGGGGGTTTGTTTTTATTTATTTTTTCCAGTTGTTTACCTGGCCAGTGCTAGTTAAGTTGGCCAAGCACGTTGTGTGAAGCTTGTGAAAAAAAAAAATGCAAAGACAGAAACCAGAGTCCGAGTTTGAGGGAGACACTGTTTTCATTACTTTCATTACCGACTCCTTGTGGTGGAGAAACTAAAGGGTGTTGGTTTAATAAAACCACACATGCATGCTTGATGTGAGAGATTTCTGCAGAATCAACCACACAATGAACGCTAACGTCCTCTGCTACTAAACGCTCTTCCTGCAAAGTCAGTGACTCAATGCAATGAGCTGAGTTTCCTTCAGATAGAAAATCTCTGTCTCATTCTGTCTGTATAATCTGATTAAATTGTCTCTATAAAGTGACTTGAAATGACGTGTTGGGAATTTGGGCTGTATAGATAAACGGAACTAAATTACATTGAGCTAAAACACATAAAGATATACGTGTACTTTTGTAATGCAATGTAAACTACTTTATCAGGTATCTACAGTACAGTATATATATATTTGATCCTAAAGGAACTCTAATTAGGTATGTTTTTTGACAAACACAGTCTGATGATAGACAGTAATTCTATATATGTTCTCTCTAACTAAGTAGGAGTCGTTATTTTGGCCACATCTAAGGTCTACTTTGAACACAGATTTCAAAGAGACTCGATCTTGCCTTGGGTTGTTGCCCAGATATTCAGTCTCTACTGGAAAACTTGAGGAAAGATGAAAAATGACAGAAGATTACAGACCTGTGTCTTACAAAGTTGTTCAGTGTCTATCACTGCATAGATGGATCTGATCCCTAACAAAATGATGCTCTAAATGGACATGACTTCTTCTTATGTAGGATTAATTTAGCTTTATTGAAGGAGAGTTCCAGATATGCCATTAAAACTACACATTTTTAATAACATGAAATAGATATAAAAAGCTGTTCTTTTGTGTCGACTTTGAAAGTCAGAGCTTTTAAGAGATAGAATCACACCTTAGGACAAATGGTAGTACAGCTTTCAGGTTGTCGGTTACTCACAGAAGCAAAAGCAAAAAGCTTTTAGATTTGACCTTTGATATTTATGGCATGCTGTGAAATCAAGAGCCAAGAGCAGTCAGAAACTGCTGAAAGATGGAACGGATTGTTTCTGATGCAAGTTCCGCCTTGGAGTAATTGCAGTCTGACACAGATTTACAAGAGCAGCTTGACTCTAAAGTATGAGGAGCAGAGAAGTCCTGTTCTTTTTGTCTTAGGCTACTTAAGCTTGAGGTCATTTACAAAGTATTTAAGAGAAAAGGTTCTGAGGGAAACACATTAAATCCAAATTTGGACCTGAAACAAGTAAAAGTGGGATTCAAATTCAAATTCAATACTCCATACCTCTGCTTGAGGAGAATACTTATATTTATTAAAGCTTCCACTTTCATTTGTTGTTTCCATTTTAATTTTAATAAAAAGACAAAGAAAAAACAGGTGCACATTTATATGTTCAGTAACAACACATTAACTCCAGATCACCATGTTTTGCATGCTCTGCACACGCCCCCAAGTGTGTGCCCTTATGTAGTGTCTCACCATCCATGTCCAGTCTCTGCATAATGATAGCCAGCTCCACTTCGCTGGGCATGTAACCTAGGGAGCGCATGGCCATGCCCAGCTCCTGCTTAGAGATGAAGCCATTCCCATCTCGGTCCAAAACTCGAAAGGCCTCACGGATCTCTGCACAGCAAAAATAAAATATGTCACTGCAAAGGACTGACTGTCCCTGTGCCTCTTTTAATTTTTAAACACTTTGGAAAATACACAATATCAAATTTAGGATGAAAGTTTCATAGATGAAAAGAGCAAATTCACTGCTACTACTGTGATGGAGCATCTGCTCTTATTGGTCCTGGTGTGAAAGTGTCTGGTTAATGAGATAGGATGCCAAAATTATAAGGTGTTTGGGTTGATGTAATTTTTGCTAATTTGTTTGTGTATGAATTTATTTGGTAATTTGGTCTGGTTGCAACAAATTTTTTATCCAACATTAATTAAGTCCAATAATCTAGACCTCTAGTTTTATTTTAAAGTCTAAGGCTTTTCTGAGAGTTACTCATTTTATTTTGATATTTTTAAAAATCCAACGGTCTTAAAATGGTTACTATTCAAAATGGCTTCAATAATCTTTTTTCCATTTAATAGAACTCTGATACTAAATGTTTGATTGGGAAAACAATATCATCCAGGAGAGTTAGATAGATAGAATGTGTATCTTCTCTTTTTCTCATGTCTAAAGAATGTGGTTGGGAAACATAGAATAGAAATTTCTTCTTAAAGTCAGCCTATTATGGCACGGCCATGTTTCCAACTGTGCTTTAATTAGTTAATTAAAACATGATGAATCCTTTGCCAGAATGTCTAGATGCAGACAGATGAATATTACTATTTCTTCATAGTAATCATGGTCTTCATGGTCATCAATCTCTATAACACCTCCCTCAAGTAATTTTATCTTTATTATCTTGTGTGGTTGGTTGTATATATATATATATATATATATATACTTTAATAATCCCAGAGGGAAATTATTTTTGTTACACGCTTCAGTTACAGTTTTATATATATATATATATAAATATATAAACATTTTCTACTGTGTTTTTACTAAAAAACTTATAACACTTAATTCAGAGCTATAATGTGTTATCTGATAGTGTCACTAAGACAGTCTAATCCAAGAGGTGTAATTAGTGATTAATGGATTTTAGCGAGTCTTCAAGGAGCTAAAAGGTGCTTTCCCAGAGTTGATAAGAGGCTTCTTGATTAACTATAAGTGTAGGAGCTTTTCTCACTGACAAATCAAGGTGAGAGTCAACTCCCTCTCTCCTTTACTCTCTCTCTACCCCGATGCCTGTATAAGTTCCCTTTCTTGTAATGCATCTTTTCATACTCGCCATATTGTACAAACCCTGTGGGGGCTCCACAAAGCAAATCACCAGCATTTCTACCAATAGCGATTCTGTGTTCCCACGCAGAAAAAGGATTTTTACCAACAAGGAGTTGTGATTAAATACACAGAACTAAAAAGGGAATGTGTTTGATGTGCAGCAGAAATATTTAGAGCAGCGAGGAATTTCTCACAAAAAGCCTGCAACAGCTTGTTATCATGTCAAGCACTATAAACATTGATAATCTGTCTGTCTGTCTATCATTTTTACAGTTACTCTCTTATGGGATGTATTTATAACATGCTTGTCTTGATTCTGTGCTCTTTTTCCAGGTTAGCTCTTCCTGCCTTGTCTCTATTTTCTCTGTATGTTAGATAAAAGATAAAATGAAAGCTGATTTTCAGTCGCAGCCACCACCTAAGCCTGTAAATATTCCTCACAACTCATAACTGGACGTGTCCTCTGAGTGTCCACCTCTCATTTTTTGGCTTTCTCCAAGAAGGTAGAATCAAAGGCAAGGCGAGCCACTGTGAATGAGGGTATGCAGCCTCCCAGAACACAGTGAGACCCATTTGTATTCAGTCCAACAGTGGGGACCACGTTTTCAATAGGGTACAAATGAGCTGGTCCCTGATGCATTGCTGCTCAATGTGTGTGTGCATTTGCGTGTTTGTGGGATCAGGAGAGACTGCAGCATCTGTCAATGGTTGTGTGTTACAAAGATAGTCCTCAGGTTATGGTACATGTTCACATACTGAAAATCAAAATGCTTTAAAACTACATAGAAGGTTTGAGGCAGTTCGTTCGACTGGTGATTAACAATTTATCTTTCTACGCAAACAGATAAACCTGCAAGGGTCTTCTGAATCTTCTGAAGTGGGATTAGAGGCTTTTTAAAGCAGGCAACAGCTTCCAGCCATTTTGGCCCTGATCAGCTCAAGGTTTGCTTATATAAAACACATGCAAGCTTGGCAGCGTCAGCAAAGCTGACCTACTAACAGGTGCAAATTCAGCGACAAAAGTTAGTAGAAAAGCAGCCAGTGCATGTTCAAAACATATGCTTATCACCCTAGTGTTCAAAATACTGGTAGAAGGATATGTAAATATGAAATGCTTTCCATCTACAATTTGATTTATCAACACTGAAATAAATTGAAGGTGCAGGTTTTGCATAAATGATTATTATCAATCTGTAAAGCAGATACAAATTAATAACCTAAGATGTCTGTGGCCATTGTGGGAAAGAGGCATTTGTATAATGACGGAGTGGGGGGGAGAGTTTAATGTGAACATATTTGGACTGACAAAATTAATATTAAAATAGTATTAGTAGGGGGTGGGAGGAAAACAGCATAGCATAGAGTGATGCTGTGGGACTGCAGGCATTCTTTTGCAATTTAACCAAAATAATAAACAAAATGACTGCATTTAAATATTATTGCTGTGATTTATAAACAAATAATCAAAAGTACTGACAGCAGCCAGAAAATGAGAAAGAGGAAATTTAAAGAGGCATTAAAGTGGGAAAAAAAAACATTTTTATCATCCATCCATGAAAGCTCGAATTGCTAATCTATGTCTTATGCTTGCCTGAAAGCACATAAACAAACAATACATTATCATTTTTATAATTCCATTTTTGTTATTTTTATTATTTTTAATTTTTTGTCCCTAGCTGTGAACTTAATTTTTCTATCAAAGCCTATCTTCCCCATCAAATTTCCATTAACACATGCAAAATTTTTATTTTAATAGGGCAGACTGTAACAGTTTTGCATCTGTTATCAATTACACATACATTCTAAGTAGATCACTTGCCACTTAATTGCATGTAGAATTCTCTGTTTAGACAACCATTTTTTTATTACTCCTTAATAGGTATCTTAGCTGATTATACTTTCTGTCTACATCAAACAAACATGCTGTATACAAAGGATCTCTGGCTCACTGTAGCTTTACCTTAGATGTTAGATGGTTCAGTTAATACAGCCCCTTACAAAAACCTATTCATCTTGTTTTCCACATTTTGCTCTTCACAACCTCTACTTGTAATGCATTTCATGTGAGGTGCACAGCCAAAAGGTTTTACATAAATGTGAAGTTGCACTGCAAGTTTTTCTTGTTGTTTTTTTTCCTGCTGTATAAAATCCAACGCAACCAATTGTCTTCAGAAGTTATCAATGGTACAGTAACCAGAGTCCGGCTGTCTGTAATTTAAAGGTAGTGAACCTGTAAAAAGAAAATAATTAATATAAAAACCTTTATGGGGCAGTGGCAAGCCTAGAGTTGAATGTAACATTGCAATAAATAATTTAATATATACTAGAGGCGTGTGAACCAATTGGCTCTGGTAAGATGAGACCAAAGTTATACTTTATGATCGACATGCAATATACAACGTTTAATAAAAGCTAATGCCCTTTTATCTGTTTGTACATGTCTTCTGGAGCTCTCTCAGGTTGGCTGCAATCTACACAATTATGTTTGTTTTCCATAATTTCTGAGTATCATGTCAGTGTGTGTGGCATCATCATAGCAAGGAGTCCAAAAAGTAACATTATATGATGCAATGATGGACTCTAACCAAAATCACTTATGAACTGTCACTCATGGAAGCCTAAAGAGTAAGTAGAGCAGTTCCACAAAGACAGGAGACTTGTGTAAGGGAACAATAAACATGCTGTAAACATGCTGGGGGCAACGTAATGCTGTGGATATTTTGCAGCAGGAACAGAGAGGTTAATCAGTCCTAGACAAGCAATCAGGTTTACAGATTTAAAACTGGGACTCATGTTTCATTTAGAGCCCTGCCACAACCATAAATATAGAGATCTTAACCAACTTCTTAACTAAAGCAATCTACCATCTGTGATAGGAGTTGTAAAAAAAAAAACATATTCCATTCAATCTGACAAAACTATGAGCTATTTTGCATTAGAAATTGGCATAAATTTCAATCTATAAACGTGCGCAACTTGTAAATATGTATTTCAAAACAATTCTAGGTGTAATTTCAGCAAAGGGAGACCTAAATAGTGATTCACAGCGCTGAATAAAAACACTTTGCACTTTTCAATGTTTTATTTAAAAATGTTGAGAGGACTGTACTAATTTCCTTTTACCTCATGTTATGCAGCACACAGTGCTGGTTTAAACACATTGAGAATTTTAAATTTTACATAATGACAGAAATGGAGAAAAATGTACAATAAGAGTTTATAGAAGATCTGCAGCGATCCAGGTCCCCTGAAACAGACCATTCATAATGACATATTTGAGTCAGTGCAGAAGCTCAGTTTTTGGTGCACAATAACTGTCTTTGTGAACTGGGCTGAGTCAATTCATGCAACAGGGAAAATGGATTAAAAGATTTGTACAACAAAATACTTCATAGCAAAGCGCAGAGAGCATTCATTCAAACTGCAGCAGCGCCTCATGTATAAACACAAACAACAAGCAGTCAGACTTCTAGACACACTTTCATGCTCAGTCCTCACACTATGGAAGGATTAGCTGTTTAAGCAACCCCCTTGCAAAAACAGGGCATGTGCTCATTGCATGCTGGAAGTCTTTGCTTTGAAAAGAAAGCACAGAATGAACCATGCATCTCCAACTGAAGCTGATATCAAGACAAACTACCGTTTGCTTTAGTTATTTTGTTCCTCTGACCCTCTATTATAACTATTTATCACGGTATCAAGGTGGTTGCCTAGAAAATACTCGTAGTTAATAAAGTCTTCACAACAGCCAAAACTTTATGTGATATTAACACTGAACTTCAGAGTAATAGTGTTGTTGTATTTAATGCTCCAGAAGTCAAACTGTGAGGCCAATCAATCCCTGCAGGATGTGGTAATCAAAGCTGAACCAGAGAGCCCATCTTCTTTCCACAGAGGATGTTTATATCCTGACTGATCTTTAAGTTTTCCTCTCCAGCTTTGTTTTCTTTCTTTCATTTTTTTGTGTGCAAATCTTAAGATTTGTTTGCAGCCTGCTTGTGAGCTTGCTAATGTTTGTTTCACCATATGACCCAATTTAAGAGAAAGGCTGCTGAGCTCCGCAGTGAATCAAAATTTGCTTTGTTAGGTTTAATGTCACCATGACTGATTGTAGGGAATGGCCAGAACCTTAAGAAATAAAGCCCAGGAAGTCTTTTTTTGCTTGGTTAAGTACAGAGAAAATGGCTCCACTTTAGCTTTGATTATTTATGTTCACACTACATCAAACCAAATTTGGGGGGGGACTGGTAACATCAATTTTCATGCAAGATAAAATATGAATGGGGAGCTAATTAGGGTACGACTATAGATACACTACTCTGCTGTCAAGCTCCACTTCCTTCTGAGTTGTCTGACTGATTTTATTTCCTAAGCTCCATAATTGGAAACCAATGCATCCAGTCAAGCTCTGACAGAATGGCTAAATGGAAAATCTTCACCTCTAGAGAATTGGAGCGTTGTAACGGCATTGTTCCACCAACGGCCCATTAATTGTCTGTACCTCACACTTTGTTCTGCATCCACACATTCCTCCTTGCGCCTCTCTCTGCAGGGTTGGGACACTCACCTCCCAGCTCCTCAGTGGAGAGGCTGGTGAGCTGGAAGGCTTCGCTGCCCTCAGTCAGGGAGCTGCTCAGGTAGTTGTCCGGATAGAGCAGGCCTGCCCGCACATGATGGAATGGCATTGTTTCCCTGCAAAGCAAAAGAAATGTCACACATAATTGTGAAATATTATGTGAAAATAAATACAAATCAGTAGCAAGCAAAGATGCATACATAGTGAAGCAAATTTACTGTTTTGTCAGACTTTAAAGTGTAAAATATACTAATTTAGCTGAGATGGGTGGTTATCCTGCAAAGTTCCCCTTTAATGTTAGAAATAATATCGTAAGCCCTATATTGTAAAATATTTGCATTATATCATTTGTTGATAGTTCCAAAACTTCCTTAAATTAAAGATTACATACAATTGTGGAGCCAATAAAATAAGGGAGGGCAATATATTGAATTCTAACCAAAGTGCAGGGAAAATCCACAAGTAAGGTTGGAAGTAAGTTTGCAAGTACCAAGTTCAATCCCCACTCCCTCCACTCTGGGTTCCTAAGCAAAACCCTTAACCCGGTTGCAGAGGCTATGCGTCAGAAGCATAATTTGGCCTTTGTCCCCTTTGTGCTCCCCGGGCGCCACACAGTGGCATCCCGCTGCTCCCCAAGGGGATGTGTCAAAATGCAGAGAACGAATTTCCGCATTGTGGGAAAATAAAGGGATTTACATAACTGTAAGACTGCAGCACCAGGCACCTTTGAATGGGTTGTTATGCAACAAAGTTGTTGTGCTCTTTACAAAGAGAAATAAAGGCCCTCTGATTGTGATTTACAAACTGTTAAAAATGATATCTTGTTTCTTCTAAATCATTCTATCAGACTACTTGGTTTGGGAAATCTCTCTCCACCTTTCTGCTACTTCATGTTTAAAAGAAGAGAGATTCATGTGAGCTGTTGTTTCCTCTAACCTTCCCTGTCAAATCCAATGGCTCCCTGTCCCCCAGGACGATCTCAACTGCCACACCAAGGCGCCACACGGCACCTTGACATGAAACCTCAGGCCTTGTAAAGGTGTCAGTGCTGTAGCTGCCTCAGCTATTGCATGATCAGAGCAGCTCTTCTTTGATTTGCCAGAGTTGTCCTGCTGAGGGTTCTCCGCATGTAACATTCTGACATTTTGATGATACGCTTCATGCTGTATTCCTCCTAATTTCAGATGTTGAGTTGAGGGGTAGAATGATAGGCGAGTTAGTGGGAGGGAAAGAAATCCAGAGGATTTTTTTAGTCAGCATCTACCAGGAATGAAAAGATGGCAAAGGGTCTCATCTAAAGTGATTAAAACTGTCTCGCTTATCTTCTTGCAAAACAAAATTTTGACCTGATTTTTTTTTTTGGGATCTTAGGATCACAGCCAAAGGAAGAAAAGGCTGTGGTGAGTGTTAAAAAAAAAGTCTGCTTTGATGATCTGCAAAGGGCACCAGGTGTGAAAACACAGTCTCTGAATGAGACAGTGATAAAAAGCACAGTTTGTTGGTGTGTATGTAAAAGGGTATTAACATGTACACAGCTCACAAACTCCAAGGAAATTTGCTCTTCACTCCCTCTGCTACTGGGCTAAACGTGCCTCACGTAAACACTGAACTCACTCAGGTCACACACAGAGACATGCATCTATTCTAGAGACAAAGCACACATTTAAATCCTTCAATACATTTAAGGCTTTCAGTCATATATTACCAATAATAGTGGGTGGGCTCCCCTTGGGTAAACAAGCACTGCACAGGAGGAGCAGGAGGGGAAAAGGAAAGATGAAGCATAAACATAAGGAATATGCACAAATTGGCTAAACACAGCACCTTTAACGACACATTTGGAAATCTCCAAAAGTAAAGACGTATACAGAACTGAGGTGTTAATTAACGTATGTTGAAAGGAGGCTCCAGTTATGGTATTATTTAATCTACCAGTAGCCTGAACCTTCTTATTCACACGAAGAGCTCTGACTTCCTTTACAAAGCCGGTAAAGTGTAGCTTATGTGTGTCCATGGATTTCAGGCTGTGAAGGTCTCTTCAATTGTAGTAGCACTCTTTATTTAACAATTAACTGTAAGACATCAGAGGCTGTTTGTCTGCAATGTGTTTCCAGTTCCCACAGCAGCTACTTTGTGGGTATTGTTCGCTTGCATACTAGTGAAGAGTATTAGTATACTTTCTTCTTGTTTATCCAGAAGCAATGACTAGCACTGACATTGCCTACTAAGAAGGTGCAAGGAGTTCTGATATTTTAGACATGTAGGAGCTACTTATTGGACTAAAAAGTATTTTTGTAATGGGGGAATTATATATTGTCATACAAAGAAACACATAAAAAAGGATGGAATGAGTCTTGCTACAAAAAAAAAATATTATTTTTTATCGTTACTGAAACAATTATTTGTTTTTTGTAAACATAAAGTGTATATATAAAAAAATATTTTTTTTTTTTAGATCTTTATCAAAACAAATTACCCACTATATCCTTTTCAGTAATAATAATAAAAAAATCTTTTGAGGCACATCAATATGAACCTATTATCAGCTTTTGAACGTATCCACTGGCTTTTCAAATAATTTTGATGGGTTTTAAGTCTTGAGGCAGGAATGCCTCCTTGCCATCACCCTAATCATTAATTCTCAGCACAGATTCCGCACAGATTCAGCACTGTCAGATTCCAATTTCGATTCTGGCAGCGTTGTTCCAAACTTTACCATAACTTTAACTAAAAGTAAATCTATTGATTGAAAATAAGAGTAGCTTCAATTCTAAATGAGCAAGGACTATAAATGGGCTCCTTCCCAATACTTTTAATGCAGCTCCTACCTCCCGATTCTATCCTTCACCTTTCATGGGGTCAACAATAAGAAAACTACCCAGAGTAGGAAAATAGCTCCGGACAGCTGTGCTGAAGGACACGCATACACTATGTTTGTGTAGCAGTGTGTCTATATAAACATGGTTTTTATATTTGGCTTTGTTTAGGATAAATAGATAGTATGATGGATAAATACATGTATATAAGGATTCCTTTTATGTTAAACAAATCATGCCAAATAAACGAATACCCCCAAATACCAATACATTCATTCTAGATCAACATTTCATCATTACTTTCCATATATTTTGTTTCATATTTTCCTCTTTCAATTATATTTTTGATGCATGTTTGTTTCTTATCTGTTGGAAAAAAAGCCGAAGTAAAAGTTTCATAATCTATATTTAATGATGAGATGAGTTTTAACTTGTCATAGTTTGGTCCTTACTGGGTTTACGAATGATGGTTCTAATGCCCTGCTTCTTTTAATCAGGACATAGAGATTATTTATGGCTTCTGTCATCATTAGAAAAAGGTTTCTTTAAGAGCATTCAAAAAAAATAAAAAGTTAAGTCGGCTGTAAGGTCCTCACTCTCATTTGTTTGATAATAAACCTTCTATAGATTCAAGATTAGTCATAGATATATCTGTAGAGGTGAGAAAAATCAATGTCAATGCAGGGAATTGGATGTTGTATTAAGTCAAAAAATATATTTGTGTCATCAGGAGAAAAGGTTGCAGAGTATAGAATTTAGAATAACGTTGGAAATTAAAGGATAGAAATAGACTGAAAGGATGCAGCTCCTTCAGTAATCACAGAACGATTGGATTTAATCTGCCCATTTATAAATAAGCTCGTTATCGAATTTATTTTCCGTCTCATGTTTACTAAGCAACAACAAAAGGAAGAGCTCCTTTCCCTTCCTCTATCGATGTTGCCCTGATCTAACATAAGCGTCCTTGTTTTGTTTTTTTTGTAGATAAATATTTAGTTTAGTAGACAACATTGTCAATTTCTATTTGCCAGTTATAGTTATTCATTCATTTCGGAAACCTTGCTTTGAGATTTTCCAAATCAAATAAAGTGCTGACAAATTTTTTACTCAATAAATTCCCATTTGAAAATATAGGATGGTACAGATTCATCCTTCGTCACATTTGACATTAGGGTTTCGATTTGATTTACAGAAAACATAACATCTGATTTTGTAAAACTAGACTTAAACGTCCTGTAGCCTTTGCTCTGTGGTATCTCACTGTATGGTTTAAAAACTATTCTTATGTCAGTGATGAGTGATGGCTGCTGTAGATATAAAACAGATTAGAACAAAACTCATTATGAAAGGGGAAATCCACATATGTCTATTCTGGATTTATTCATGTGGTTAGGTTTGAACTAGTATTAATTCTACAGTGTTCGGATGTTTGAAGAGCTGCAGATCTAACAGGTTATGTACAGCGCCGGTACACTGTCTATGTGGATAGCAATGAAAAAGCTAAGGTATTAGTTTGGTGGGAATCTGTCGAAATGGTTAAGTCATCTGCAAAAAAACAACAACTTGCATTTAGGAAAGAAAGATTTAACTCTGTACTTAAGCCTAAGACACACAAGAGCCACTGACTAAATCTAATTGAACTGGTGGTTCACCTTACTAGGTGAGTTGTAAAAAAGAGTAGCCACACCTGCAGGCATACGTTCTAATAGAATCTTATCACTCCTCTGATTAACCTATAACTTTTCATCTACAATTTTAGAATGGGTTTTCTTGGAAAAAAATAAAATAAAGATAAATAAATACTGGTACAACTGTAATTCTATCAATTTAAAGCATAATCATGGTAAAAATTCTTTACTTTCTTGACCAATACTCTCAATCCTACTTTTAATTCCAGAATTCCTGAAATAAAACATAAGTTACTATTGCTGATCACAGACCATATTACATTATACATTTTTAAGCAAAGAAAAGCCAGTCTGAAACAGGATTGATCCCTTTCGGTTCGGCTAGAGATCCTACATGAACTGAATTCTGAGCGCTTTACTGTACTTTCTAATGACTTATTTTCCTCCATACCATTTTGCCATGCACTTTCTGTGTGAACTGAATATTGATCTGCCTTATTCTGTTTATTCTGTCGGTATCAGTAACCGTGTTGATGTTCGGGGACCAATCAGAAAATATCTTCATGTCAATTCCCATGCACTTTTGCTTTCTTCTTTTCTAATCCTTTGAACCTAATAGTAAAAATGCATGGAGGGTGAAATGCTGTGCCACATCATCACATATGCTGGTTG